GAGGAGGAGGAAGACAAGGAGGAGGAGGAGGAGGAGGAGGAGGAGGAGGAGGAGGCGGAGGAGGAGGACGGGTCGCTAAAGCTCATCGGAGAAGCCCTCCAAGGGCGGTGCGAGAGGGACGGCCTCTCTCGCCCGAGGAGGCAGGCCGCTTCTCGGCTGGGGGCCCGGGGGCCCGCTTTTCGCCCGAGATCCGTCTCTCCGATGGCCCGGGGGGGGGGGGGGCGATCACGGGGCCCCGCGTAGACATCGACATCGAGGGAAACAAAAACAACACAAAACTCGTATGCCATCGGAGGTCTGGGAGCATGCCGCCGCGCCCGGGCCCAGCGGCAGTTCCTGCCGGCAGCGCCGCGCCGCGCGCGCGCTCGGGCGACCGCGGGGCCATCGCGCCCCCCGCCGCCGCTCGTCCAGCCGGCGGCGGCCGCGCCGGGGGGGGCTGGAGACACCACACTGCGGCAGCCCGTGCGGAGTGGCGGGGAGGGGAAGGGAGGGAGGGAGGCGAGGGGAGGGAGGGAGGAGGGAATGGAGGGAGGAGGAGGGAGGCGAAAGAAGGCAGGAGGGAGGAGGGAGGGAGGAGGGAGGAGGAGGAGGAGGAAAGGAACAAAACTAAAAAGCGAGGAGGAGTGAGGGAGGAGGGAGGAGGAGGAGGGAGAAGGAGAAGGAGCAGACGCTATGATCCCCAGTTGATCTACGTTTCTGCTTTCTTAGTAGGACGAGAGAAAGAGAAATGAGCGAGGAGGAGGAGGAGGAGGAGGAGGAGGAGGATGGACGTAGGAGGAGGAGGAGGAGGAGGAGGAGGAGGAGGAGGAGGAGGGGGTAGAGGAGGAGGAGGATGAGGAGGAGGAGGAGGAGGAGGAGGGGCATGGAGGCGGAGCAGAGCCAGTCCGGCGGAGGAGGCGGTGGAGGAGGAGAAGGAGGAGGAGGAGGAGGGAGAAGGATCACTTCGCCAGTTTGGGCAGAGGAAGGAGGAGGCGCGCCTTCCCTCCTGACCTTCCCTATCTCATGCACGGCCATTCTGTCTGAGCTGGGCAAGGGCGAGGACTCCGTCCGATCCCCTCCGCTCCCCACCTTTTCCTGGAGCGACGGCTACGGGCCCAAAACTTTGGGCAGCGAGCGAGCGAAGAGGATGAACGCTCCTCCTCCTCCTCCTCCTCCTCCTCCTCCGCCTCCTCCCTCCTCCTCCTCTCTTCCACCTTCTCCTTCTCTCCTCCTCCTCCTCCTCCTCCTCCTCCTCCTCGCCACTCTTGGGCGCCCGGAGACCGCTTCCAGGCCCCCTGGGGCCATCCAGAGATGGCCCGGGGGTGAAAAAAAAAAAACGGACCCTGGGAAGGAGCAGAGAGCTCAGGGGGGCCTGCGTCGGAGGGAGGGACGTGAGGGAGGGAGCCGAGGCAGGGAGGCTCTCCTCCTCCCCCCTCCTCCCCCTTCCTCCCCCTCCTCCTCCGCACGCCCATTTCGGCACACCCCTCACACGTTTCGTGGCCCCATAGGTAGCTCCGCCGAAGGTCCAAGTGGGTGTGCCCGCATGCGCCCCGCACACCCATTTCGGCCGAGGGATCGAGACTCGAGGATCGAAGCTTTTGGACCACTCGGGCCCTCTGGGGGTCTCCGAGGGCCCACAGAGCCGACCGTGGGGACCTCCGGGCACCTGCAGAGGCGGAGGAGGAGGTGGGGAAAAACAGCGACCCGTAGGACCACGCAGGTCCGCGTCCTCCAACGCACTTCCCGCAACAATGCAAGCAGAACGCACCGACTTAGACAAGGAGGAGTAGGCCGACGACGACGGCGACGACGACACGGATATGGAGGACGAGGAGAACGAGAGGAGCGGGAGTAGGCAAAAACTGCTCAATTGGCGGCGCCCGCGGACGCAGGCGCGCATGCCGGTTCTGGCGGGCCGCTCCGGGCGCGAAGCGCGGGAGAGGGTGACAAGACGAGGGCGGCCACAGAGGAGGGAGAGGGAGCAGGGAACAACCGAGGAGGAGAGCGACGACGAGGACGTGGATAGGGCTGACGACAGCGACGACAGCGGCCACGACGACCACGACGCGCGAGCTCTGGAAAGACCTTGCTGGCTGACTCGGAGCTGATCCCGAAGTTCGGTTTTTAACGGCTGCCCCCCCTCTGTGCCACTGTATGCTCCTACACTTCCATGCTGAGAGTACGGCAACTGTCGCCTATGAATCGGTTCTAGAAGGGTTGTTCAGGATACGCAATGCGTCAATCATGCTTTCTGCAATCGCACCAGAGAGAACGGGTGACTTTCAAAATTGCTTCTCGCCTTGAACATCTCGCATGTAATGGCCCTAAATGTTGGCGCCCCTACAGGAGGCGGACCGTTCCCCCCTACACATCATACCACTCCACACAAAAACATGACATCACTGAGGCGCCCCGCACATGATTTCCTGAACTCTCTGGCGTATGTATGAATGGAGAGCGGGTTGTGTGAATACACGGGTCGAATGTGAACTTCGGCGTTGGCTAAGGTCGGGCCTGTCCCCCTACAGACGGATTTTGGACGAAAAATAAAACAATACCCCTCAAATCCGCCGATCCGGCGTGTGAGTTTGAAAGAGCCTTAGATGTAGCCTCAGCTTCAGTTCCTGAGCTTCTGCTCTGCTGGAGGGTGGGTGCCGGGGTGGCTCTGCCGGGGTGGGGGGGGGGGGACGCGCTGTGCTGCGTTTTCTGGGGGGGGGGCGGGTCGTGGGAAACACAGCAGAGTGCCAGCCCGGATGCCAGAGAGCCCAAGATTGCTGCAAGATATTTCGAAGACGGTCCAAGATGTACCCAAGATGGCCCAAGATGGCGTCATGACGGCACAAGAGGCCTTCAAGAGGCCTCGAAGACGGCCCAAGACGTCTCCAAGAGTTCCCAAGAGGCCCGAAGAACCTCCAAAAGCCCCCCAAGAGGCCCCAAGAGCACTCCCACAGCATCCCAAGAGGGGCTCATGAGGCCAAAGTCGCGTGTTTTCCGATAGTTTTTGACGGATTTTGACATGCTCGCCTTGCCGGGTTTCCGACGCTCCAAGACGGCCCAAGAGGCCTCCAAGATCGCACCAAGACGGCCAAAGGGGCTCCCAAGAGCGCCCCAAAACTGCCCAAGGAGCTCCAAGGCTACTCAAGAGGGCCCCAAGACGGCCCAAGATGCCTCCAAGATCGCACCAAGACGGCCAAAGGGGCTCCCAAGAGCGCCCCCAAACTGCCCAAGGAGCCCCAAGGCTTCCCAAGAGGGCCCCAAGACGGCCCAAGATGACTCCAGTACTACCTCGGAGGCACCTAGGGCGCTCCGAGAGGGCCCCAAGACGGTTCCAGCAGAAGCCCCAGAGAGGGAACCCGACCCAACACTTCGAGTCTTCCGGCGCAAGAGGCTCCCAAGAAAGCCCACGAGGCCTCTCAGAGGCCCCCCAGGAGGCCTCAGGAGGACCCCATCCTCCACCTACTCCTCCACCTCCAGTTCCACCAACCAGATCGCATCGGGAGCGCCCCCGGATCGGCGGCATGGGCCAGAGGCCACTACAATATTCAAAAGCATTCAAACATGATCAAAAAACGTATATTGTTTGACTATTTTTGCATACTCCTCCTGTAGAGGGCCACGCCCGATATAAGCGTTGGCTCGCATTGCAAAACAGGCTGGGGGCGTCACCACGCCCAATCCTGCCACTCCCTGTGGAAGAGCCTCTGGGGCCTCACTCCTTCCGGGTCCCCCAGCTCCCCAGAGGGGCCACCTGGAGGACGCACTCACCACTCCCGCCCTCCCAGATCCTGGCCAAGAAACCTGCGAGAGGCCCATGGAACACCCTCCTCACCCTTCTAGCACGCGCCCGCCGTGACGCCAAGGGAAAGGAAATACCTGCGCTGGGTTGCGAGGAGGGAGCTTGTTCGGGAGGCCTGGCCATGCTCCGGTCGGCTCTCGAGGCGGCTGGCTGGAACACTCAGGCACACAGGACGCACACACCGCCTGCCTCCTTGATCTTCGTCTCGGCCTCCTTGGTGAAATACCGCGCCTTCACGATCAACGGCTGCTCGGGAAGCTGCCCCTTGCCGCAGACCTTCATGTAGCCCGCCTTCATCACGTCGATGACGGGGGCCTTGTCCTTCTTCGCCGCGAACTGTTCCCGCGTCCCCTCGGGGACCAGCGACCAGAGCTTGTCGACATTGATCAGGGGGCAGACCTTCCCGTGCTTGATGAGGTGGAAGTTCCGCATGCCCACCTTCCCGAAGTAGCCCGGGTGGTACTTGTCGAAATTGATCCTGTGGTGGTGCTGCCCGCCAGCGTTTCCGCAACCGCCTGGGTGCTTGCGGTGCTTGCCGATGCGCCCGCGGCCTGCGGAAATCGCGCCGCGCAGGTGCCGATTCTTCTTATACCGGGTCGTCATTGCACCTACGCTCTGCGCGGTTCCGCGCCGTGCACGGCTGAAGCAGCGGAGCGGCTTGAGCCAAAATGGCTACGGACTTCTGAGGGGGGCCTTGGGGCCGAAGGGTGCGTTGCAGCACAATCACGATGTGTGCTGGTTACTCTGGTCATCCTCCTCATCCCCATCCCTCGCCCGGGCCGTGGATGTTCAAGTGTTTCATGCCATGGCTGGGTGGGTGCAGAAGAATAATACCAGAAATTCTCCTTCTCCTCGTCCTCCTCCTCTAACCCCATCCAACTCCTCGCCTCCCCCCTCCGCTTCGTCCTCCTCCTCACCACCATTTCTCGTTCCCTCCTCTCGGTGCGAGCTCGGAGCCTCTGCTGACACCATGGCGGGGGGGCACTGCTTCGAAATCAAGCAGACGGACTCCAGGGCGAGGTGCAGCATCTCCTTGGCCCGCTGAAAGGGGAAGGAAAAGGGTGAAAGGGCAAGCTAGGTGCGCTCGAGTCATGTCTGACATCCTACCCCTCCAACCCGTCCCTTTTCACTGCGCTGAATTCCGCTTTGTCCGTGGGGTGTCCTAGAAAACCTTAATCTTAAAAATGCCTCAATCGTGTGATGAGCAAGCAGTAAGAGGGGGGGCTTTGTATATTGGAAGAGGAAGTCGTGGATGCGCAGGACGAAGAGCAGGAACACGAGGAGGAGGAGAAGGAGGAGGAGGAAAGAGGAGGATGAGGATCAGTAGCAGCAGTAACAGGAAAAGTAGGAGCATGAGGAGCAGGAGAATCAGCGGAGGAGGGAGGGGAAAGGATGAAGTCAACAACGACGAGGAAAGAACATGGCCCAAACATTTCGACATCACTGGGGCGAGACGGCCAGTCTGAACGACTGGAGCAGAGCACCGATCCTGAAAAGTGACCAGCACTGCCGCGAGAGCAATCCCACCAGCCCTCTGGGCGTAGGTGGTCTAGAACAGATCCTCTTCCACCCCTCCCTCTTCCCCCTTGGGGAGGGGTTTACCCCTCCCCCTACCCCCTCCCCTGGACCTGGACGGGGGGGGCCGCGGGTAGTTAGAGCGTCCAAGATGGCCCAAGACGGCTCCAAGAGCGCCTCAGAGAACCCAAGATGAGCTCCAAGATGGCTCAAGATAGCGCAAGATCGCTCACGATGGCTCCTAAGATGGTTCCAAGAAGCCCAAAGACGGCCCCAAGATAACTCCAAGTGGCCAAACAGCTCCCCAAGGAGGCCCCGAAGAGGCCAAAATCGTCCCAAAACCTAAGGAAAATCAATGATTTTTGCTTTCTCGCCTTTTCGCTTCCGATGGCCATCCGAGGCCTGGAGATGGCTCCAAGATGGCCCAAGAGGGCCCCAAGAGAGCCCCAAAAGAGCCCCAAGACGGCCCCAAGAGCGCCCAAGAGCACTCCAAGAGCGTTCCAAGAGGGGTCCAAGAGGCGATTTTAGGGGCTTCCGAGGGGGGGCGCTAATTAAACCCCCCCTCTTGTTTGATCGACTCCCTCCAAGATGGCCCCAAAAGCGCCCCGAAGGCTCCCCAGAGCGCCTCAAGAGGGTCCCAAGAGGCGCCCAAGATGCCCCAAGGCGCCCAAAAAGCCCTCCAAGAGGCCCTCAAAAGACCCCCAAGAAGCTCCTTCCCCTCCTCCTCCTCCTCCTCCGATTCTTCCTCCTTCTCCGTCCTCCTCCTCCTCCTCCTCCTCCTCCTCTTCCCTCCTCCTCCTCCTCCTCCTCCGACGACGACGACGACGACGACTCCTCTTCCATCCTCCCCCTCTCGGGGTCTGTGACAGCTTCCCCCGCCCTTTGTTATTCTGCATGCTCCCCGACTTCCCTGATCACCTCAACTCCCCTGAGCATCGTTTCTGGATGGGCTGGTGGGGATACGCGAAGCGTCAACAATTTCTTTGAAGGGAGTTTAGCGCTGTTGCCATGCACCGCACTGCGGCCTGGCACTTGGACGCCATGGCAGCGTCATGGCCACGCGCGGGTGAGAGTTGCAATGTCTCGTCCTTAGCGGCTAGAGGCGGGACGGGATGCAAGTCGTCATATGGCTGGGTGCCAGAGAGGGGGCCCCGGGAGGTGCATCGACCAAAAGGTGCATCGAGTGAACCCAAGCCGTCCTCGAATAACTCCCACACCTGACCCCTAGTCTCCTACTGGTTGGCTTTCTCTAGCCAGATTTGCTGGTTCTACTGGTTGGCTTTCTCTAGCCAGATTTGCTGCCATTGCGATGCGTCCCTGTTGAGCGAGACTGCAGAATCGTGCGCATGCAGAGATGCAACCGTGGCCACGCCTGTGGCGGTGGCCACGGCTGGCCGCAGCATGCGGCGCTTGATGGGCGGGGCCGCTACAGTTTGAGGGGGCCCCAGGACACACAAATAAATAAATACAAATAAAAAGATTCCCCATACTTTCCCATGTGTTCTGGGTTTTTGTCTTCCCCCCCACTTCCCATATTTTCCCATATTTTCTCGGGAATCGACGATTACTTGTGTCTGTGTGTTTTTTCCTCTCCTGACAGTTGTTGACTGCAGCCTCGCTTCTTTTCCCTTGAATCAACACCCAGGAGCCCCAGAATCTACATCCGGAGCGTGGCCTTCACAAGCTCGCCTCGCGCGGCGCACGGTGCTCACCACTTGCCCTGCTTGCCCTCACCTCTGCCCTTCGTGGTGAAGGCGGGGCACGTGCCGCCCTGTGGGCTGGGGGTGCGTGCGGGACTGGATCCCTGGTCCTGCTTGCCGCCCTTGCCGTTCGGGTGCTGCTACTGATTTTGGTTGTTCTGACTCCAACTGATGCTCGGCCCAGACACCCGCTCGCATCATATAGCGCTCTGAGAACGGCTGGCCATGGAGGCCCCCTTCTTCCATCACCTCCTAGAGCTTGGCTCGCTCCCTATTGCCGTCCACGCTCGCCGTTTCCAGGGCTTTGAAAAGTTGGGCGGCAAAATCCATGGCCCTCCAAGTGCTCTTTTTAACAGTAAAGTTAGGTCGGACATGTCCCACTACAGGCGGAGCGAAAAATTAAAAAAACGCCACAAACATGCACAAAATCGACAAACTATCGTCAAAAAATCGTCCCCAGGCGATTTTTCACTATTTTTGAATGCTCCTCCTGCAGAGGGACAAGCCCGACTTTACAAATAAGGCCCAAACGCCGGCACGCGTCGGACATGTCCGCCAGGCTGCGCTTGCCTGCGGCCTGGTGGCTGGGGGCCGAGACCCCGAGGCAGCAAGCGCCGGCCACCGCAGGCGCCTGCTCGGCCTGGGTGTCGCAGTGATTGGCCGCCTCGGCCCCCAGCTCGGGCGTTGGCAGAACTGGGCCTGGTGGGACCTGGATGAGTGATGCGTACCGGGGGACGCCCCCCCCACCCCGTTCTACTGACCGGAGCTGCCGTCAACCGAAAAAAACGCCATCTACGGTTATGTCGGGCGTGTCCCCCCTGCAGGGGGATTTTCGACGAAAAATGAAAAATACCCCAAAAATACTACAACAAGGAAAAACAAATATTCAAAAATACCCCGCAATATTTTTTCACATTTGTTGATTATTCTTAGGGTATCTTGTATTTTTCGTCGAAAATCCCCCTGTAGGAGGACACGCCCGACTTAAATCTACGGCAGACCTGGCTTCGTGATTCTGGCAAATTTAGAAGCTCCAGGGCCCTGACACTGACCGCGTCCCCTTATCTGGGGTCCTATAGCTACTATTACCTGACCAGCGTCACTGTGGTGGCCATCTTCGTCAGAGGGTTGCTGGTTGCCTGTCATTTGGGGGGTATCTTCTATAGGGAGGTACACGCACAACGCTGGCATAGACTTTAAAGCGCCTAAAGATATTTCGGCGCTGGAGCCGAGCGGAGGGGGAACCGATAGAAATGCGCCCTCGGCGGGGCATGGATGGGGGCTACAGCAAGAGGAGCAATGCTGGCAGGGAGAAGGGCGAAGGGCCAAGGTTGGCAGCAACTTGCTGGGCAACCTGCCCTGGTGACGGCGCATGTGGAGCGCCAGCCTCCCCTGAGCCTCCTCAGACCCGCGGGAGCGACTGCCGGAGGCCGAGGCGGCGGCAAAGTCCGCCTCGGCACACATGCTCGGACTCCCCGACTTGAGCAGGGACCGACCGTCCCGGCATCCCCATAGTCCTACCACGACATGTCCTTAGAATCCCCCAACAGGTTCTAAGAACAAAAGCAAATGTTCTTAGAACATAAGCCCGATGTGCTAAAACAAGACCGTCCCAGCCATAAATATTCGAAGAACACTTCGTGGGGAAACCACAGAGAAGGTTCTTATAACATTGCTTGGTGGGGCTATAGGCGAGCCAGGACGCTCTGCCACTGCTGGATCGACTCTGGCCTCGCCTCGCGCCGGCCGCCGGCCCACTCCCCGCAGCGGCGGCGGAATTGAAGGGGCCCCAGGACACGCAAATAAATACACACAAGTAAAAAGATTCCCCATATTTTCCCAGATGTTCTGGGTTTTTGTCTCCCCCCCCACTTCCCATATTTTCTTATCAGAATGAGGGGGCCGAACGGTCATTCACTGTTCCTGGGTGCGTGGCTGATGTGGAATTCCGCGATGCGGATTACTGTTGTTCTTGTTGTTGTTGTTGTTGTTGTTGTTGTTGTTGTTGTTGTTGTTGTTGTTTGTTGTTGTTGTTGTTGTTTGTTGTCGTCGTCCCACCCGCAACCCGCCCCGCGACCCACCCGCGACCCACCCCGCGACCCACCCCGCCCCGCGACCCACCCGCGACCCACCCCGCGACCCACCCGCGACCCACCCGCGACCGCGACCCCCCGCGACCCACCCCGCGACCCACCCCGCGACCCACCCCGCGACCCACCCCGCGACCCACCCGCGACCCACCCGCGACCCACCCGCGACCCACCCGCGACCCACCCGCGACCCACCCGCGACCTACCCCGCGACCCACCCGCGACCCACCTTCGACCCAAACCACGTTCAAGGTACAAACCACAATTTTCGGCGCCTGCGGCGGGTTTTTTTGCATTCCTTCCAAGTGGAGAGCCCGCGACACATCCCGTGACCAACTCGCGACCAACCCGCGACCCAAACCACGTTCAGGGTACAAACCACATTTTTCGGCGCCTGCGGCGGGCATATTTTGCATTCGTTTCAGGTGGAGAGCCCGCGGCCCACCCGCGACCACGTTCAGGGTACAAACCACATTTTCGGCGCCTGCGGCGGGCATCCTTTGCATTCGTTCCCTGTGGAGAACCCGCGGCCCACTCGCGACCCAAACCTCGTTCCGTGTACGAACCAATTTTTTTGGCGCTTGCGGCGGGCTGCTTTTGCATTCCTTCCAGGTGGAGGTGGAGAGCCCGCGACCCACCCGCGACCTAAACCACGTTCACTGAACAAACCAATGCCGCACAAGCGCGGCGGCGGATTCTTGCATGCCGTCTGAGCCCGCAAGGACCTCTTCACGCCCCGCACATCCACGCCAGCCCGTCCAGCAACTTTGCCCTGGCGAGTTGCCTTGATCAGAGAAGGCGGGGAGCATAAAGTGGAAAAAAGGATTGCGTTGCAGATATCTTTGGAAAGGAGGGGGAGGCAGGATGAGTAAACAGGGGACGAGGAGAACGTGGAAGAAGAGAGGATGTAAGGAGAACGTGGAAAAAAGAAAAGGAGGAGGAGCAGGAGGACGAGGGGGAGGAGGGGGAGGAAGAGGACGAGGAGGGGGAGGATGGGGAGGATGATGATGATGGACGACAATGGGAGGACGATGATGGAAGCCGATGAGGGGGAGGGTCCGCCGGCTCGACGACGCCCGCGTCGCCCGCGCACGCCCCCTCACTCTTATCCGCAATTGCGGGGTGCTACGCATTTTCCTGGGAATCGACGATTAATTGTGTCTGTGTGTTTCTTTTCCTCCTGAACAAGGGGGTGGAGGGAGGGGGGAAGGCTTCGTAGAAGCAGGCTGCTCCTCAGCAGGCGCCGGCCTTACATCTGCAGATCCGGCCGGCGCCTTCTGAGGAGCAGGGGTGCTTCCAGGAAGCCCTCCCCCCCTCCCCCCATCCCCCCCTCTGCGCGTGGCTGACCACAGCCCTCTGCGTGGCCGACCCCGCGACCCCGAGGCGGGGGGGATCGGCACCCTGCTCGGTGACCTCTGGCGGGGAGAGCGAGCTTTGCCGCCGCGCCCGCGGCGCTGCCATGGGCTCTGCGCTGGCCCGGCGAGCGGCGCGAGGGCAATCCACTTGCTCTCTCCCTCGCCGGCCTCCAGCCGGTGACACGGAGCTCGCCCAGGTCCCGGGCCACTCCTGTGCCCCGGCAGTCCTCTGACCTTCCAGGAGGGCTAAAGAATAGCACCCGACCTAAAAACCGATCCTAGAGCTATTCTACGTCTTGGTTTTAGGCGGTTTCGCTCCGTTTTTTAGGCTTTTAGGTCTCCAGTGATAAAAAATAGCTCTCTGGAAGGTCAGGGTCGTCTTCGGCACCGTTCCAGAAGGCGCCGGCCTGTGTCCCGCTGAGGCTTCACCTCCAGTCTGACCTGAGCCAGCAACTGCTCCCTCTCCTCCTGCGGAGCGGTCCTGCGGCGGCGGTTGCTCGGGCGGTGGGAGCGGCAGTCGGGTCTCCTTCACAGCCTCTAGTTCGTTTTTGTTGATGGCCGGGCGCGACGTCCACGACACGTTGCTTGCTTGGGTGCCTTCACGCGAGAGCTGGCGCCGCGCCTGTGTTTGCACACACTGCCTGTCGACACCCCTTCTCCTGCACTCCCCGTTGCGGCAGCAGCACAAGTGAGAAGATCCAGTCTCCGGATGTCCGCCTCGACTCGACCAATGGTTGTAGTAATCATCCGATGCTATATATATATATATATACAAATGTACTATAGATCGATGTGTACAGGGCGGTTTTTAATACATATGACGGTTTAAACAATATGAGCTTAATACATGATCCATGTACGGATAAATGCATGCATGAACTCATCGTTGCTTTTAACACTCAATCCCCGCATGTTTAATACATGATCCGCACGCGGAGCATGGATTAAAAACGGCACTGTATGTGTATACATATATACATACACTTTTGTGTGTGTGTGTATCCGTTCTCTTGATTCCCCCTGTCGGCGAACAGTCGCCATGCATGGCCCTGAGAACGCGCAAGTGCCAGGACTCTCTCCGAGCAGTGGCCATTGCGCTGCTCTGCCTCGAGGAAGGGGCTCCCCAAGGCCAGGCCCGAGAGCCCCACACCGGGCGACGCTCCTGCTCTTGCACCCACGCTTCAGTTCCTCCTCCTCCCCCCTCCCCCCCCCCCCTCCTCCTCCTCCTCCTCCTCCTCCTCCCCCTCCTCCACCTCCTCCACCTCCTCCTCCTCCTCCTCCTCCTCCTCCTCCTTCAGCCTGCTAGGATAGCACGCGAACAACACTTGCTCGAGTCGATCCGCTGGCGCCACTCCGTACCCGCCCCTCCTTCGTGGCCCCAGGGTCGGGGGCGCGAAAGCGATTAGCGACCCATAAAATTGGCGCGCGGTCTTGGCGGCGCGCACAAGGGGGTAGGGGGAGGGGGGAAGGCTTCTTAGAAAGGAACTGCTTCTCAGAAAGCGCCGGCCTTCCATCTATAGACAAGGCCCGCGCCTTCCAACAAGCAGGGGTGCTGCTAAGAAGCCTTCCCCCCTCCCCGTACCCGCTCTGCGCGTGGCCGACGGTCGCCAAATCCACGGATCGGGGGAGGTGCTGCGGCCGGTGCCGCCTCGGTCGGCGGCGGAAATCCCGATCTTCCATGGAAACGGGACCCGTCGCTAATCCACGCCCCCTCGATTTATGGTGTTCCCACCGTACTGAAGACCACATCCCAGAAATAATTTCGAGCACTCCGACTAGTGTCGAAAGAGTGTCGAAACAGTGTCGGGCGAGTGTCTCCCAGGGAACGACACGTGAAAACATTAGAGTTTCATTATTTTTTCCTGGCGCTCAAATTTCTTTCTGATGATCGAGGCTAGAGTAGGTTGGAACATCATAACCTTCGATCCATGTTGCGATCGTCTGACAGGGGAGCCCAATGTATCCACATCCACTGCTTGCCAAGGTCCCCGAATATCGGTCACCCAGGGCGGTGGTGATGGATAAATCCACGCTTCGGACCCTCCCCGTTTCCCCTGCCCCTCCCCCTAACCCCCCCCCGCCCGCACCGGGGAGAGACACGACGAGTCGATTGCATGTTGTTTCTTGCGAGTGACTGGCCATCGCTCGGACGTCCATTCCCTGTGTGTGTTTTCGGTTTCGTGCGTGGCTTTTTCGCCAAATGATCGAGGATGCTCCTCGATGGCCCTCGCCGAAGGAAACATGCACACGTCCGAGCGATGCCAAGGGGAAGGGTCTATTTCCGGCGGGGCGCCAGGCACCGAGAGGATGGGGCAGCTGTGGGGGCTCCTAGGGCTCCCAACTTCGCGCTTCGCGCTCCCCGAAGCGCGAAGCGCGAATAACTTCGCGCTCTCGCGCCGCCCCCCCAAAGGGAGAATAGGAGGACGAGGAGGAGGGGGAGAAGGATCGAGGACCGCGAAGCGCGAAGCGCGAATAACTTCGCGCCCTCGGGGGAGCCCTTGGGGCTCTGGGCCGCTGGAGCGAAGAGCGTCGCGAGCAGCTGCGCCCGTCAACGGAGGGCCGCTGCTCTCGCAGCCGCATCCTTCGGCCGACGCTGCACTTGTGTCGGGGAGACGTAAGACCCGGGTACGGGGGACTCGGAAATCCCCGACGAGGTCGTCAAAAAAAAATGACGAGGCCGAGCCAGCATTTTTTGACGAGTCCTCCCGCTGCAGACATCCCACGAAACTCGTCCTCGTCAAAATCCGAGTCGCGGTCGTCAAAAAACGATGGCGAACCCGAGTCCCGGCAAACCCGGGTCTTACGCTCCCCCGATTGTGCGCCCCCGGGAAGATCCCACGGGAGGGAAAACTACACGTCGTTCACTTCTAATTCGTGCTCATTCGAATACGTGTGCTCGTCCCGAATGGCTCCTGGCCCCCCTGGTGGCCAGGAAGGGGCCCGGGACGGAACAATTGGACACGGAAGGATCTTGGCCCCCCCAAAAAATCAGAGAACTCTCGAAGAATGAGAGATAACCAATGTGTACGCTTACGACGGCGGTGGCAGCAGCCTCTGGTGGCCCCCAGGGGGCCGAGGGCCGGCGACAAGGGGAGCCCAGGGTGCCCAGCCGCTCCGCTGCCCCCCCCCCCCCCCCCCACGCGGCCGCGCAGCAGAAGCAGCTTGTCCCGAGGTGGCGTGGGCTGCTTGAACGTCCTCGACTGGTCTACAGTCGTCGGCCTGACCCAAGGAACGAAAAATAAGGAACGAAGCCCCTTTTTATCCCAGGGAATGACGCACAGGGAGAGACAAATCATAGATCACGCATGAGGGACTGTGAATAACGCATGTAAAACCTAAGGAACGACCGATCCCCTTTTGAAAAGTAAGTGTTCCTTATTCAAGCCGCTCACTCTATCGAACTGGTGGGCCGGGCAGCACGGCGGAATGCCAACTCCGACAGTGACAGGGCGTCGTGCGAGCACGGAACCTGACACGGCTCACTGCATCCGGCCTGCACGTGCTTCGCAGTCCTACTGACCGTTGGCCATTCCATTCCATCCCCCCTCCCCCCTCCCCCTCCTCCTCCTCTCCCCTCCCCCACTTCGCCCTCCCCCCCACCACGTCGCCCTCCCCCCCCCGTTCCTCGAACTCTTTCCACGCTTCGCCCCCCCGCCCCTCTCCCTCCGCTTCGCCCGCTTGGGGTGGGTGGGGAAGAGGTGGAGGAAAAAGAACTATGCACATACACCGATTCTGGCCAGGCCCATCCTGAGCCCAGGATCGGTGCATACGCCCTCCTACCTTGGCCAGGAAGGCATATGCACCGATCCTGGGTCAAGGATGGGCCTTGCCAGGATCGGTGCATGTGCATAGTTCTCTTCGCCCGAAAAGGGGAGTCGCCCTTTTCTCCCCACCACCCCAACTCGCTAACAGCTCCCCGCAGACTGCCCTGCCTGGCAGTCCTCGTCCGCGTGCTGCAGCAGCGAGCCCAGCGAGGCCAGCACCTCCGCCGCCCCACATTCCCCGGGGCAGGGCCACCCTCGCTGCCACACGCCGAACAGCCCGGGCAGGGCAGATCGAGAATCCGCACCATGGACGCCACCTCCCTCCTCCCATGCGTCCCTCCCTGTTCCTCCTCGTCCCCCTGGTCCTCCTGGTCCTCCTGGTTTTCCTCCCCATCCTCCTCCTCCTCCTCCTCCTCCTCCTCCTCCTCCTCCTCCTCCTCCTCCTCCTCTTTCTCCTTCTCCTCCTCCTCCAGTTCTTCCTCCTCCTCCTCACCATCACCATCGTCGTCGTCGTCATCACCACTACCACCACCACCACCACCACCACCACCACCTCCACCACCACCACCACCACCCCCATCGCCAAACCAGCACCAGCACTCGCACCACCGCCATGAACATGATCGCCATCATCATCAGCATCAGCATCAGCATCAGCATCTGCATCAGTATCACCACCGCATCATCAGCATCATCAGCATCATCATCATCAGCATCATCATCATCAGCATCATCATCATCAGCGTCATCATCATCACCATCATCATCATCATCAGCATCAGCGACAGCAACATGAGCATCAGCATCAGCATCACCACCACCACCACCATCATCGTCATCATCATCATCATCATCATCATCATCATCATCATCATCATCATCATCATCATCATCATCGTCATCGTCATCATCATCACCACCACCATACCACCATCGGCAGTATCATCACCAGCATCACCATCACCATCATCAGCATTATCAGCACCATCATCGCCACCAGCATCATCAGTATTATCATCACCATCAGCATCATCGTCACAGCGCGCACGGGCGCCCGGGGCCCCCGGCCAGGCCGCCGCGCGCTCTTCGCTGCCTCCCGCCCCGCTGCTCTGCGCACCAGACCAACACCGTTCTACGATCGGGGGCGCGCAACTATTTAACGGGCGAAGAACGGTGTAGAATAAACTTTTTCGCTGTCGGGGGCGCCTGTCCCAGGGCGCCTGTCCCAGGGCGGCTCGTCCTCCTCTCCTCATCCTCCTGTTTCTCCTCCTCTTCATCCTATTACTCCTCTCCATCCTCCTCCCCCTCCCCCCATCCTCCACCTCCCCCCCCTCAGCATCATCATCGCCATCAGAATCGTAAGCATCATCATCATCATCATCATCATCATCATCATCATCATCAGCAGCAGCAGCAACAGCAACAGCATCATCATCAGCAGCATCATCAGTCTCATGATCATGATCATGATCATGATCATCGTCATCATCACAATCCTCATCATAATCAGCATCATCATCCTCATCCTCAGCATTATCATCATCAACATAATCAGTATCAACATCATCAGCAGCATCATCAGCATCATCATTATCATCCGAGTCACCATCAGCATCATCATCATCATCATCAGCATCATCATCATCATCATCAGCATCATCATCATCATCATCATCAGCATCATCATCATCATCTCATCAGCATCAACATCATCACCATCATCGACAGCACCATCAGCATTATCGTCGTCATCAGCATCAACATCATCATCATCATCAACATCATCAACATCACAATCATCATCAGCAGCATAAACTTCCTCTTCATGATCATCATAACTCCTCCTCCTCCTTCTCCTCCTCCTCCTCCTCCTCCTCCTCCTCCGCCTCCTCCCCCTTCTCCTCCCCTCCTTCTCCTCCTCCTCATCCTCCTCTCCTCCTCTGGCCCCCTTCCCATCCGCCCCCCCCCACCACCACTCAAGCCTCCCTCTCTCCCTCCGAGCCCGAGGGCTGCACGTTGCCCTGGGCCAGGCACGCCTCCCGCGTGGCCATGTCGTCCACCGCGGACCTTGGGTGGCCCGCTCCCCTCGGGCCCCCGGCCTCCTCCTCCTCCTCCTCCTCCTCCTCCTCCTTCTCCTGCTCCTCCTCCTCCTCATCGTCCTTGTCCTCCACCTCCTCTTCTTCTTTTTCATCATCATGAGCATCATCATCATCAGCATCATCAGCAACATCATCAGCATCATCATCTGCAGCATCATCATCATCATCATCAGCATCATCAGCGTCAGCATCCTCATCTTCATAATCATCATCAGCAGCATGATCGGCATCATTATCATCAACATCATCAACATCACCATCACCATCATCATAATCATCATCACCATTATCATCGTCGTCATCAACATCATCATCAGCATCATCATCATCAACATCATCACCATCACCATCACCCTCACCCTCACCCTCACCCTCACCATCACCATCATCATCATCATCATCATCATCATCATCATCATCATCATCATCATCATCATCATCATTCCTCGTCCTCCTCCTCCTCCTCCTCCTCCACAGACCCCTCGCGGTTCAAAGACTCGCCCTGAAATTGCCGCTCATTGTGAGCCTACTGATACAGGTTCCGTGCCCCGTGGCCGTCAAAAGCAGGCCCCGGATGCAGGCGCGGTGACTGGGAAATGGTCGCAAGCAAAGCCTGGGGGGCCCACGGTGAAGAACACGGGTCGCCGGAGGTCCCGGTCCCCACTCCTCCTCACCTCGCCCACCACGACACGCCAGGGCGGGCAAGCAGGGGGAGGGGGGGGGGGCGGGGAGGGGGGCGGGAGGAGGGGGCGGGCGGTCGGCGGCCCGGCAGTGGCATGCACCGTTGGGCCGCGGGGAGCGGCAGGGGGGGGCGGGGGGGCGTCGGGGAGGCAGGCGAGATGGCCTCGGACGTTGGGGCGTGGTCGGTGGCAAGCGGTGCGTGGTGCCGGCGGCGTCGGGCGTGCGCTTTGTACTTTCCCATTTCGTAAGCAACTGGCTCTCAAACCGCTCGAACCCAGACCCACTTTCATGTATACTCAATCACACTCAGACTACTCACACTCACACCCTGACTCTCCACACCCCGACCCACCCACGTGCAGGCCCACTTACACGCAGACGCACCCACAGCGAAGTTCACTCATACTCAGGCCCACGTACACTCAGATTCACACTCACTCACACTCAGACTTACTCACAATCACACTCGCTAGCGCTCAGATCACTCAAACTCAGACTCATCCAGACTCAGGCGCGCTCATAACCACTCACACTTACTCAGACTCAGACCCACTCACACTCAGACTCGCCGCTTAAACTCACACGAGCTCACTCATGGTCAGCGCGATGTAGCAGGCATGGCACTTAAGCAGCCCAAGGGGGAGCCGCCAGCGAGTGTGACACGGGCCCGTTTGCGCCCAGATTGCGGGGATCTCCCTCCCCTTGGCCTCCTCTGCGGCCACCTTCCTCCTGTCCGCGTGGCCCCGCTGTTCAGCGCCGTCGACAATAATTACTCCGACGGAAGGACCCCACATGAGAATCCTCTGGGCGAATCTGGAAAAAGCCCTCACCGTCGTCCTCGTGGTTGGTGAGGCGTCCTGGCTGTCTCTTCTGCGTATATTTCTTCTCGCCCTGGCGCGGGCCCTCCCCCCGCTCCCTACGTTGCCCCCGACCTCGCCCTCCTGTTTTGGCTCCGGACATTCAGAAAGTGGCCCGGGAGTGGTGTTCTGGGAACACGAAGAACTCGAAGTGGCCTACAGTTGGCTCCGGGCATTCAGAATGTGGCCCGGGAATGGTGTTCTGGGAGCACGAAGAACACGAAGTGGCCTACAGCTGGCTCCGGGCATTCAAAATGTGGCCTGGGAATGGCGTTCTGGCAGCGCGAGAGCCTAAAAATGGCGACAGTTACAGGAATCGGATGACCCGCTCGGATTAGTAACATAATCCGCGGGCCCCATAGGGAGGGGGCTCCCGCCTGAGACTTCCTCATAATTCACTCACAGACGAGGCCCAAGGCGAGTGAGTGAGTGAGTGAGTGAGTAGTGACTGACTGACTGACTGACTGACTGACTGACTGACTGACTGACTGACTGACTGGTGATGATGATGATGATCATCATCACACTCTCTCACGCGCACACTCATCATCATCATATGTGAGTGCTGCTGAGTCAGTGAGTGAGTGAGTGAGTGAGTGAGTGAGTGTGTGTGAGGGATGATGAGTGAGTGAGTGAGTGAGTGAGTGAGTGAGTGAGTGAGGAATGAGTGATGATGATGATGATGATGATGATGATGATGATGATGATGATGATGATGATGATGATGATGATGATGATGATGATGGTGATGGTGGGTTCCTGTTCCTGCGCGGGGTGTCCAGAGAAAACAAGAACCCCACTTTGGATGTGGGAAAAAACAGTCTTCAAGCCGACGCGTCCGAGGCGACCCAAGAGACCTCCACCCGCCCAAGAGGACCCCCGAGACACGCGCGAGGGGACGCAAGGGGCCCAACGAGGCCCCAAAGAGGGGCCCAAGAGGGGGGACTCGAAATATCATGTGGAGCCCTCCATGCCAAGTTGGCTCCCGATACAGCCAAGAAAACAGACGCTCCAAGGAGGCCCACAGGAGCCGTCCAAGATGCCAGGGAGGCACCCCAGAAGGCCCCAAGAGGCATCCAAGAGGCTTCTTGTCAACGACCCAAGCAAGGTACCATAATGGGCCGCAAGTCACTGGCCTCGGAGTCGGACAAGACGGCCCTTGGTGGCTTCCACGACGGCTCCAAAACTGTCCAGAAGGCTCCAAAAGACCCTCCCCGAGGGCCGGAAAATGCAAAACCACACGAATGCTCAAACTGTGCTTGACTGACGTTCGCGCGCTTGTCTTTTCGGGTGTTGACTGCCCGAGATGCCCCAGGAGGCCTCCAAGGGGGCAGCAAGACGGCCCGAGCCAAGATGGCCCGAGAGAGCCCAAGGAGGCGACAGAGGAAAACCCAAAAGGAAAGAAACGGCCTCAAGCTGGCCACAAGACGGCCCCGGAGGGCCCTTCCGAAATATTTCCCCAATGGTTTCCCCACATGCTGGAATAACGCCCAGTCCATTGGAGTGGCCTCATTTTCGCTGGACTGTTCACGACGCAGGCGCTGACGAAGGCAAGGGGAGGCGGCGGTGACTCGCCATAGGCGTCTTCGATAGTGGTACAAGCGATCAGCACGCACAGGAGATTACGATCATTTGGCCCGCGCACAGCAGGCCTCAATCTGTGATGTGCGCACGATGATGTCCGACGATTTTCGGGGTTGGCCATGAACAAGCTCAGCAGCCGAGCTCCGGCAAAAAGCAGGTGCAGGCACCACTACGAGGCCCCGCGGAGCGCATCTGCAAGGTCCTGCCTGGACCTGCTGAGCGCTTGCCGCGCCGTGCCGCGCCGGATGCAGCCAGCAAGATCGTCCGAATAGCCACGACGATCGACCTTCGTGCCGTCCACCCACCTCGCGGCGGCACGCCCAGGGGGAAGCCAGAGGGGGGCGAGCCTTCCCAGAAGGCTCGGAAGGCCTGTGGCCTTCTGAGAAGTTGTTCAAGCCTTCCCTTCGGTCGGACCTGTCCCCCTACAGGGGGACTTTGGACGCAAAATTGACAAAATTGACACACAAACAAAAATCATAACAAAGCAACAATAGTCCAAAATCGTCCCCAGAGCATTTTTGTTACTATTTTTGAATTCCCTCCACGCCCGACTTAAGTTGAAGCCTGAGGGCGCGGGGGCTTCTGAGAAGCCCCACCACCTTCTGAGAAGGCCCGCCCCCCAATCGCTTCCCCCCTTGGGCGCGGCGCCGGACCTCGGCAGGACGTAGTCGGGAGGGGCCCCGCGCTGATAGACGACGCACCCGGAGCTCAGGAGCGCGGGAACCCTGCTGAAGGTGCCCCTCGCCAGCACCTCGGCCATGTCTAGACGAAGAAAAAACAACATAAACATAAACTTTTGGCGCTCCGCGCGGATTTCTTGGATCCGCGCTGGACCCCCCCCTCCCTGGCGCGCGGAGCGCGCCAGGGGCGGCGCCGGATGCGCTGCCGTGGGGCCGAGGCGCGGATGCAAGAAGTCCGCGCGGAGCGCCAAAAGTTTTGGTTTCGGTGTTTTTTCTTCTTCGAATGTCGTCGTCGTCGTCGTTGCCGTCTGGCCGCGGGGAGACGCGGCGAGGACCCCTCTCAGCCCTGCCGCCCCGCGGCCTGCGCGTGGCGCCAGGGCCGCAGGACGAGCACGGCCACGGGAGAGGCCAGGCTGCGCCGGCCGCAGCCAGGCGCTGGAATGCTTGCGGCACTGGCGTCAAGCTCGGGTACCCTCCTCCATCGCTGGGCCTGCTGAAGAACGAAGCCTCTGAGCGTAGGCGTGCAGTGCATTCCCTTGTGGCCTGACTGCTCTGGGAGCGGCGCTCAGCGCAAAGGGACGTCGCGGCCCCCAGCAGGGTTCCTCAGAGGCTCCCTCCTCCTCCTCCTCCTCCTCCTCCTCCTCCTCCTCCTCCTTCACGTTCTGCTGCTGCTGGGTGTCGTCTCAGGCCCTCATTGCGCTCTGAAGGGTGCTGCGTGGACTACTCTGGCATTATTGAGATGAGCGTGGAAGGCTCTGAAACGCTTTCTGAAAATGCCCACAAGTCTGTCTCGGGCGATACGTATATCGCACCCCCTCGCTCTCTTTATCTTCCATTCGTACTTTCTGACGCTGGTGATATCTCTAGATCCGTCTCTCCATCTCTGACTCTCTGTCTATTTATGTATGTATTGTTTGTTTATCTCTCTCTCTCTCTCTCTCCCTCTCTCTCTATATGATGTATATAGATGTATATATGTGTGTGTATTTCACTCTCTCTCTACACACACATATACATATACATATATGTTTCACTCCCTCTTTATTTCATGTGTTTGTTTTCTCTCTCTCTGTCCCTTAACATCTCCGTCCCTCTCGCTCTCTCTCTCTCTCTCTCTCTTCGCTCTCTCGCTCTCTCTCGCTCGCTCTCTCTCTCTCTCTCTGTCT